GCGCAATCGAAACAGCCGCGTGCCATTCATGCCCAGACCCTTCGATCGTAACCACGCATAAACGCATGCGCGAGAGAGGGAGAGAAGGGTCTGGTAAATAACCACGTGCCAAGGCTGGAATGAAAAGGGGTGTTGGTATGCAATTATTAATCGCACAGGGTCTGGATAGCGCGAGGTGCGTGTCCGTCAAGGTGTGCGTGTAATGGAACGTCACGTTTTACAGTAATGCAAGCGATCGACGAGGCTGTTGAAGCAGTTGGTTTGCAGCACTCAAGCCTGTACAGCGCCATGTAATAAGCTCATTTGTGTGACTGGAAATGACGTTTTTGTGAGTCTTCCTACCGGTTTTGGTAAGTCTTGCAGGGGTCTACGAGCTTTTAAGTCAAGCAGGCTTGCTCGCAGGCTCTGCAAGTACCGTCCATCCGTCAAAAAAGCAGAAAGTCTACGTGTGTGCGCGCACGCGCGTTAGTATTATAGTGCATGATGATTTCATCACAGTCGGGTGTAACCGCGAGATATGTGGTTGCTGAAATTCCTTGGCCCGTGGAAACTGAGAGGCATAGTTACCGCTCCCTTCCTTGCGCATGCGTTTACGTATGCGCACATATTTTGTGAAGGGTCTGGGCACCAGACTAGTGCTGAGCTACACGAAAGCCCAGGCAGAGCCTGAGGAGCAAACCTGCTTGACTCAAAAGCTCGTAGACCCCTGCAAAGGCTATCTTACAGTGCACTGTTCGACATAATAATAATACTCAGGTGGCTGCCATAGCACTAGGGCCATAGACCACGCACCCAGAGGAATGGGCGGAACCAAACAAACATACAACATATGAACATGAGGTGACATAATTCAGCACTGAAGGAAGTTGGAGCAGCCGAGGTGCACAAATTTCTTGCGTCTTCTCCCAGCTACGTGTGCAAGCATCGTCAAGCGTCGACATAAAATGATGGTCCTTAGGCATAGCCAGAGTTTCCGAGAGAGAGAATGTGGTGAAGGAGTGACGTTGTATTGGTCTCGGCCTCTGGGAGACGATCGATGAGGAAGAGAACCATTCCTGGTGGAGTTCTGGAGAAGTTTTGGGAATGATGGCGCTGTAAGCCAGGAGGAGTGAGTCAGTGGAGTGAACATCAGACGATAGGAGTTTCTCGAGTGTATTGACCATTTGTGGCTGCGGATTAGCCAGCATGGCTATGTACATGACAATGGCTTCCAATTCATCGTCATTGGCTGCAGTTTCCAGGGCATTGAGCAGAGCCTATACATACACATAATTAAAACTGCAAGTCAAAGAGGTTTTACTATGTACGATTTGCGATCTTAGACTTCCTTCAGGACTGATGATGAAGTATAGAAGTAACTTCATCTTGACGTCCTTGCGGACAATTGATCCATGATGCTACATGGACAGAAATGATAAGGTCCAAATAGCCATTGGCATGTTATTTGTACCTCTTTCAGATAATCCAATGCATCAATGGCTGGGGAATATTGTGGTAGTGGTCCATACTCTGCTTCCAGCTTCACCAGACTTTCAATCTTGTGCGCTGTTGGGTTATTTGTCTATACATTCAGTGCTTTCATAAAAGCAAGATTTGAGGCATACCGATCTCAGTGTTGTTTCTGTTTTTGTGTAGCTCCCTCAGCGAATGTTTCACGTCGCCCCCACGTTCATGAGGTAAATCAACCATTGCTTTGCGAGCTGAAATATTATTTGGGTATAAATCTCTTGATGAATCAGTAGCTAAGTCACATTGCAGTATAATAATAATTGTCACTTGCGGAGTTGAAGGATGCTAATACCTTAGCTTTCTGTTCTGAAATTATACTGAGAACCTAAGCTTTGGACTAAAGTATAGCTGCACTTGCTACATGCAGTTCATCAGGAGCAAGCCTGCACGAGTATTCTTTATGCTATCCAGTTTCCTGCTACAAACTATTCTTCTAATGCTTTGACTCTTTAAACATACAGCTACATTCTTATATATCAGTGGACAGTTTAATGCTGGTGCAGCTTAATTGTACCAATGGACTTACTTCTATTTATGAATGCCAAGAGCGAGTTTTCCACATGTTCCCCCAGTCTGATGCTGTTGTCACTTCTCCTCCGATGCAATAGACGGCGTTGTTCTCCCACCAGCTCACAAACGTATGTCCCCTTTGACTCATAGTGATTTGTCTTTATTTCAGGATTGAAACATTTGATTTCGTCCGGGTCACCAGGAGAAGTCATTAACCCTCGGCATGCATGCGCAGCGAGGTTACTGTAGTCGTTCTGTCGGTCTGTCCGTCTGTCTGTCTGTCTGTCTGTCCGCGCGAGTTCTCGCACTACAGGCTACGAGGCGGCCAATGAGTGCATGCGCTACGCCACGTTGGTTGTATACTAGTGGAAATACTTAGCATTCTTTGGGCTAGCGGAGCGAGTAGAATCGGCAATTTCTGAGTGAAGGATGCCACATCCCGGGGAAGGTTGACAACATGTCCACTGTACCCATACTGTCCTTGAGGCAGTCTGCAGACAGACATGATGGGCATCACTGCTGATATCAGCATCTCCTCAACCTGGGTTAGTCCCTGTGGAAACCAAGTGTCAGTCAACTGTCAGTGTGAAACAAAAAGCACTGATTAGTACATGTGAGTCAACTGTCAGTGTCAAACAAAAAGCACTGATTAGAACATGTGAATGATAACTGCCAGGTCAATGAAAAGCACTGAAGTGCAAACCCTCGGCGAACTGCTGTACCACTAATTGATAGGCTAGGCTTTTAGTATGTGGTGTTCACACTAGTAGCTCGGGTAGAGTCTGACACGGAATAGCTACAGTAAAGCATGCGGGAGTGCATACACGCCCTACGTTGTGTCGGACTCTCCGCGAGCTACTAGCGTGGAGACCACGAATAACTAAAAGCCCAGCCCATCAATTAGTGGTATCGCGTACGTACGTGCGCATGATCCCGCCGTGCGACTAATAGTGGTGCGCATGCGTAGTGTTTTAGCGCTGATGTCATAGATATTGCGCAGCAGGGTTTGCGTCTGGACAACGTTGTTGCTATTTTTATAATAGATCAATACGTAATATATCTTGCGCAAAGAAACGTTACTATTTTTACAATATATGACATTGCACAGTGACTATGCACGGTCAGCAACCTAGTGGTATAAAAGGACAGAGGTAGTGAGCCAGTTGCATGAAAGGAAATCAGTATGGCCAAAAAAAGGAGCTATGAGGAGATTGAGAACATAGATGAGGTGAATGGTCCCATTTCGAGCACTCAAGTCCATGGTGCTATAATTTCTCTGTCACCTGTGAAGAGGGGGCGGAAGTCAGTTTTTTTCGATGGGATGCTTGCCGACGAATCATCCAAAATACGACTAGTGGGGTTTGATGCACAGCAGCAACGAAAGCTGAACGAGTACCATCAAAATAATGTTCCAGTGCAGCTACTGAATTGCGAGGTGAAGCCTTCTCGACAAGGCGAGGGATACGAGCTGATGTTAAAGAATGGTACCCAGATCAAGCAATCTCCAAAAAATATGGACATAGCATCACTGATGGTCGATGCTGCAGCAAAAGTCGTAACTCTCGATGAGCTGGATGGTTTGGAGGTGTTTGACAGGGCTACAGTGAACGTAAAGGTGGTGGAGTTGAAGGAGAAGATGCAGGTTGGTGGGAAATCGAAGAGGGATATCATTATCGCTGATGGAAGTGGCACGGCTAGGGTTAGTGTGTGGGAGGGACATGTGATACAATGGAGGAGAATACCAGTTACTGTCTCAAGGATTTTATGGTCCGAGATTCAGAGTACGAAGTACCTGACAATGGCGAAAGAAGGTGTCCCGAATCATTGCGATTGATGACATTGGAGGTGTAGTGGAGCAAACGAAAGAAGATGAGGAACTATTGCTCATCCAAAATGTTTCAATTGTCGGCATTCCGTACCTGGACACTTACAAATCGTGTCTTAAGTGCAAGGCTCGCGTGGAACCTCAGACTCCTCCCCTAGGAAAATGCTCCAAAGCCGACTGTATGATGTTACAGAGGTATGACCTCTGTACTGAGCATACATCAGCTAAGCTGATGCTGATGTACGATGACGAAGGAGAGAGAAAGAGCGTGCAGGCCTACGCATATGGAGAGGTTGTGCGTCAAATTGCTGGTTGTGGCGATTTATCGGCTGAAGGGCTACTCAAAAGAGGAGATTTCGCATCGATGACCCTGATGAGAGAGAAATACATCATCAAAGATGTAATCGAGTGAAAATAGTGACTGAGGCTGACTTTTCTGTTATCATTTACGAAACTCATGGCATTATCCATTATCAATAGCTGGCATTGGCTTTAATCATATGTACCCTCCCTCCATTTATCATGACATTCATGTTGATTTGTAATACTGTATATTTTTATTTGGTTGATGATTTGAACTTTGTTGGAAGTTAGCTTGAAATGGCGGATAGCTGCAATTGTAAGTAGCAAAGCTGGTATGTAGACTGTCATGTGTATTATACTATAATAGTGCATACTCACCACACCACTCTTCTCAGTGACGGATAGAGAGGAGATTCCTAGGTGTCCTTGCAAAAGGGAATGGTTTAAATCAAATTGAGGTATGTATGCTAAAGTCTATTTGACTTTACTTGAGCCCTCGAAAAATGGTATTTTTTCAAAAATTGGTTTATTTTACATTGGCATCTTACTGGTATCTTTAACGCTACCTGAAACACTAGTAGTAAAATTTGCTGTATATGCTATATATATATATGTGACCGTGCACACAAAAACCAACCTTACGCCGCATTTTTGTGAAGTAGCGTTTTTTGTATCGTTGTAAAGCTTGAAATGTGCTTCATACACCGCTTATTTTTGTATATTTTTGGGGAAAACCCTTCAAAAGTTACGATTTTTCAAACGCGGGCCACGCGGGGTTATACAAAACGCGAAATAGGCCGAACCTGTCGTGGCAGATCTTGGTGTAAGTGAGGTATCGCTTTGACTTTCTTTGCGTCAGCTGCATGTACCGTCGTGCTGTCACTCATGTTAGACAGGTCGTTTGATCATGTTTACCGTGAAAACTCCGGCCCGTGTGTGCTATGGATGCTGGTTCTAGATTCTAAACTAGACAGTTAACAGGCCAGCTTAGCCAGCTGCCGGCTCCCGTCTGTCTTGAGCCGTGCCACTAAGGCTGTCGTATTTTTAAAGGCGGCAGCTTAGATGATCTACTCAGCAACCACTCCAAGTTCTTCAGGAACCTTTGTGCCCGTGTGCAGAGTAAAGGAAGTGACTGGTAGTCGCTGCATCTTTGTTGCCTAGTTTCGCGGGGA